GAAAGAGAGAGAGAGAGAAAGAAAGAGAAGAGAGAAAGAGAGAGAGAGACAGACAGAAGACAGCCAGAGAGAACAGCAAAAAAAAAAAAAAAAAAATTAAAAAAAAAAAAAAAATACAGATAATAACATTAAAGTTAGTACGCGTGTTAACCCGATGTACGGGTGGTTCAAAAGAGTGATGGCTTGTATGGGCCAGATGCCGTAGACAAATTTGAGATGCAAATTGTCTCAGGCTGATGATCAGGGTTTTTTTCTTCTTTTTTTTTCTCTTTTTCTTTTTTCTTTTTCTTTTTTTTTTTTTTGAGAGAGAGGGAGGGAGGGGGAGGAGGGTAGGGAGGGTGGGAAGGGAAGGGAGGTTGGTAGAAAAGGGTGAAACGTGGAGGGAGAGAGGGAAGGGACGAGAGATAGAGGAAGGGAGGAGGTAGAAAAGGATGAAACGTAGAAGGGAAAGAAGGAGAGGAAGGAGAGATAGGGAAGGGGGATAGAAAGGGGTGAAACGTGGGAGGGGAGGAGAGAGGGAGAGAGAGGAAAGATGTAAGAAAAGGGAAGAGGAGGAGGGAGGTAAAAAAAAGAGGGGAGGAAGGAGTGAGCAGTAGGGACACTGAGGGTGTGTGGAAAGGGGAGAGGAGAGAGGTGTAAATAGAATAAGAAAGGAGAAGAGAGGTAGAGAAGGGAGGAAAAGAGGAGGGGACGAAAAGAGGGAATGGGAGGGGCAGAGAGGGGGGGAAGGGAGGAAGGTAAAGAGGGGAGAGGGGAGAAAGGGAAAGACTTAAAGGGGAATGGAAAGGGATAATGAAGAGAGGGAATAGAAAGGGAGAAAGAAGAGAGGGAATGGAAAGGGAGAAAATAAAGAGGGGGAAAGGAGAAAGAAGAAAAGAAAGAGAGGAGGGAATGGAAAGGGAGAAAGAAGAGAGGGAATGAAAAAAAGGATAAAGAAGGGAAGGGGAACAGTGATTATTGAACGCCCCCGTAAAGAGAAAATGAAAATAACTTATTTTTCATTTTCACTTTTTCGTCTCCTCCCTTTTCTTTCTTTCTTTTTATCTTTTTCTTTAAGAAGAGGCACAGGGAAGGGAGGTCGATCATAGACGTTCCTTAAAAGAGGTTGTGATTTTTCAACGATTATAAATAATTATGTTATAAAAATAATAAAGATAAATAATAAAATAATAAAATAATAAAAATAATAAAAAAAAATAAAGATAATGTTGCGTAATCGATTGCATTTCATGATTATCTTACGTGTTAAGAAATTATTAATCGATTGAATTATCTTTAAGATTTTGAGATGAATGATGACATTATTAGAAATGAAATAAGATGACAATAAAGAAGGAAAGAAAAATCAAGTAACGTAGTAGATAAAATGGATAAAGATAGACAGAGTAGATAAAAAAAAAAAAATAACCGTAATCTTGTGGTCTGCTCGTTAATCAAGAAAGAATGCAGAGAAAAAAAAGGCAATAAAGATAGGGAGAAAGGAAAGTGAAGAAAGAAGGACGCAATAAAATTGAAATATAGAGGGTGTGCGAAACGGGAGAGGACAAGAATTAAGAATTATGGGAAGGAGAAAGTACAAGAAACGAAGTGAAAGGGAAAATAAGTTATCTTCTGAGAAAGAGAAATGGAAATGTAAGAACAAGGGAATGTGTAAAGCGTTTGGGAATAAAAGAAACGGAGAAGGAAGAAGAGGAGGGGGAAGAGGACGATGAAAGAGGAAGAAGAAGAGAATGGAAAATAGAAAAAAAAGAGGAGGGAGAATAGGAAGATGAAAGAGGAATAAGAAGAGAATGAAAAAGAGAAGAGGGAGGGGAAGAGGAGGAAATGAAAGAGGAAGAAGAAGAGAATGAAAAATAGAAAGAGGAGAAGGAAGAAAAAGAGGGACGAAAGAAGAAGAGGATGGAAAGGAGAAAGAGAGGAGATGGAGAGGAGAGGAAGAGAATGAAAAATATAAAAAAGAGGAGGAGAAGGAAGAGGAAGATGAAAGAGAAAGAGAAGGAAGAGGAGGGATGATGAAGACGTAAACCGTAGAAAGAAAACTGAAGAGTACTAAGAAGAGAAGAAGAAGAAACGAATAAAGAGAAGCGAACGAAAAGAAAATACAAGTAGAGAAAGATAACAGGTAACAGAATTATGAACAAAAGACAGAAATAGAAACAAATGGAAACAAAGCGTCGGAGAAACGGGAAAATAAGAAGGCGAAGGACCAGCAAGAGAGAGAGAGAGAGAGAGAGAGAGAGAGAGAGAGAGAGAGAGAGAGAGAGAGAGAGAGAGAGAGAGAGAGAGAGAGAGAGAGAGAGAGGAGAGAGAGAGAGAGAGAGAGAGAGAGGAGAGAGAGAGAGAGGAAGGAGAGAGAGAGGAAGAGACCAGACAAACAGATAACAGAGAAAGGAAAAAAAAACATAAAACAGAAGCGAAAAAAAACAGAAAGAAAGAGCGAAACAAACATACAGAGAACCGAAAGAGGAGACACAACCAGTCCGAAAAGGAGAGTCCGAGC